GAAATTGAAGACTGTTAAAGTAGGAGACCTTCAACTGTGTTCCCCCTGATTGTGTTGGTGTCAAGTTTTGTAAAGGATTTTCTTTTTGTGTTGGACACCAAATTTTACCAACCCCCCCCCTACTATGCTTTACCAAACCTGTGTAGGAGATAAATCCCTGCTTTTAGTAATCAATTCATACTACACTTAGGAACAGATGTCTATGCAATCATTCCATGTTTCAACTTTTGTCATTCATAAACATATAACAATAGGCTGTAAACTGCTGGAAACAACTTTTACCTGCAATACTGTACTTTAAAAGTAAAAAAGAAAAGTTATAAACAAATATAAGAACTTGATAAATGTTGTGTCTAGGCTTTACAACCAGACAGCTTTTAAACATTTGACCTAATGAGCAAAGTGCCTGTGTAAGAAAGGATCCAGTGTGTATTAAATAACACACCTGGTTGTAGGATCCAGGTGTCGTGTTGGTAATGTTCCAATTTTTCCGATTCTGAAGTTTGTGGAACTACATTCACACTTCGACACCTCATCCCAAAGAGGTCACATGTCCGTAGACTCCGCAGGTCAGTGAAAATACCTAAAAACACCTTATTGGATCCATGTTGGAGTCCAAAAACCTGCTGGGATATTCATTTGAATAAGGATTAATTGCGTTCATGAAGTGTCTCCCTGTTTGGTCGGCGAGATATTTTAAAGAATGTGATGCTCAAATGCTGCTAACTGTGCTGAGGAAACCCTCTGAACGTCATTTTATCAGCTTGTACTGTAGACAGGGTGTACTCCTGTTCGGTTTTTCACTTTTCACTATAATCACATGATTCTTGGTCTTCGTTCACAGGAGCTAATAATGGTCTCCTGCTGCTGTTAATCATCTACCACCCGCTTCGAATATTTAGCCCTGCTTTATCTTTTGTGTCATTAATCATGAATGAAGTTTAACGCAGTCAGGCCATCTTTCAGTCAGTCCCTCTCAATCCAGGCCTTGTGTACATCCTGTCATGTATGTCTTGATTTCATCTCGACTGTTCTTTGGTTCTCTTTTGTCTCTTTTCACTTAAAGCAATCAAACATGCCAAAAAGAATGTAAACAAAAATAAAGAATATTTACATTCAACGCATCAGTGTCCCTGCTTTTGCTCTTTTCTGAAACAAACATTTAGTGCTGTCTGCTGATTTTGAATCAACAAGTTTTTAAAATGCAGATATTTCAATGTATGTATCATTTTCCCCCCAGTCATATGTTCTTGATAATCTGACAAAGCACATTTTCTCCTCAGCAGTATTTGAAAAGAAGTGATGATCTGAGGAAGCTGTTCAGAGAAGTTAAGAAATTATGGTGTTTTTTTTGGCTTATTGATGTTACAGATATTCTGTGTTAATGTCTTCGATGTCTGAAACTATTAAAATATTAAGTATTTACATACATAAAAACCCAGATGGACAATGATGGTTCAGTTTGGTGGATAAAGTTGTTGTTCCACACTAAACTTTTATAAGGAGTACGGTCTAACCTGCTGTATTGAAAAGGTGTCCTGAGATTACATTTTTTATGAGTTGGTGCTATACAACTGAACTGAATTGAATTAAACATAGAAAACAAGAGCACAATAAGTCAAAAGTTTGTAGAGATCATGAATAAGGCAGCGTCAGCTCTGTACAATCTGGATTTCCGTATTGATACATTTTAATTGTGTTTCAACAACAGTTAAGAATTTAATGTGTCATAGAAATTATTAAAAAGTATTCTGCAGTGCAAACGTGTATTCAACAGCATATTTTAAAATACAAAATGTTTTACATATCATAAAATTTGAATCACATTTGAAATTGTTACACACAAATCCAGAAGGCCCAAAAGAGATGATATATATTGTGCTACTAGAATGAAAAGATAGATATCAGTAGAAACCTTGATTAATTATATATTTTTTTAATGGTGGTTAGAACAGTTGAGCAGATTTTCACCAGAACCAGGTTGAAAATGAACAAATGCAAAATCTTTCTGCCAGTGGACACATTCTGACTGATCAGATAATACAAGAAGGCTACTTCACACAGCTACACCTATGATTAAGATAATCCCATTTGCAATTTGCCCTTAATGTATACAGTAGCTGTAGTTGTAGTTTTACCAAACCAGAGCGCCCCCTGCAGGATAGTGTTAAGGTTCATTTACTTGGTATGTATATTTAAAGATCTTAACTTACTTATGACTATTCAGGTGCAGGGACAAGGTAAAGACTCAGTTTGTTGCTCTATAGCGTATTGTCTGCTCTTATATTTATGACAGTGGCATAGTAGGAAAGTACTGAGTCCCGTGAGAGGAGATTCAGCACAAAAGCAGCCGGCGGTGTTTCCATCCCTGAGAGAAGAACGTGTACGATGTCGGTTTGGAGGTTTGCTAAAACCTAATCCAAAGTATTCTCCTTTGGGTTCTGTTTCACTTTTTCTTTCATTTACAATTTAAATTGAAGCAGTGTGTAAAAATATGAACTATACAATGCCCAGATGTTTAGTCCGCAACAACATCTTACAAATACACTGCTGGTGTACGCTTTTTGCTATAAGATATTTAGGTTGTTTCTGCATTCTGCGAAGGGCAAAAATACACATAATGACTGCTTGATGCAGAAGGGTACTGCCTGTCATTAAAAAGCACTTAAAGTTCCACATGAAGTATAATGGTTTTTGGACACACCACCTGCAAATAATACACCACTGATGGTGCATATAATCAGCAAGAGATGAGGTTCAGAGATGCAATGATTTGATTTAATAGAGGTCCACCTTCCAGTATAATCAGGAGTCATATAAAAGCTGTATTAGATATCTTTTACAGTATGTATTTAAAATGTAAAAAAAAATCAGACATTTGTAATTTAACAATTAAAAGGCAGTTATTGCTAATATATATGCACATGCATACACCTATTATGCATTTGTGTATCTCCCCTAGAACACTACAAAATCTGGCAAAGCTATATTTGTGATCTAACTACAAACTGAGAAAACAAAACTGACTGAAAGTGTTTTATGTAGGATGGAGATGTTCCTATGAGTCCTACTCCTCCTCCTCCTCTTCTTCTTCCTCTTCTTCCTCCTCCTCGTAGTAGCGGTTCTTCTTGATTATATCCTCTGCACTCTGCTCCTCAGCATCACTTCCTTCTTTGTCCTCCTCCCAGAATCCCACATCCTGGGAGGCGCGGTTCTGTTTTGGCTGTAAAGGTGGAGAGGGCGACGGTGAGATATCCGGGGAGATGCTTCTAACAGAGCTCTCTTCTGCCGCCATCTTGTTTGCTGCTGCCTTTCCTGTCTGCTGCTGTTCGTCTCTTTCTTCGTGTCGCTTGGGTTTCACGTCCTCCTCTGAGATGGTCTCACTTGGTGTCTGAGGCTGTGGCTTATTTTTGTTAGGTGGTTCTTCAGCTGGGTTTTTTTCCTCGAATGATGCTCTCCATTCCAGCAGGGATTTGAGAGGGCGACGAGGTTCTCTGGGTCCCAGACTAGTTGTGGGGCTCGGTTTAGCTGCGATTGTAAAAGGTCGACTACGCTCCTTTAGAGAAGAACTCCTCCGAAGGCTCTTCAGTTCGGCACGATCGGAGCTCTGGAAGGATGATGGCACCTCTCCCTCTGGCGGCCACTTGGCTCTCCAGGGTCGACCAGGAGCTTCTCCCTCCGTGACCGGACTGAGTGCTGCTGTTCCAGAGTGGCCCTCAGCAGCCGGAGGAGGCCAGGCGACTCTCAGCCTGCGTGTCTCAGCCGGCTTCTCTGTCGGCTGGGGTTTCTCGCTGGAGGTGGCGTGTGTCTGCACACGTGTCTCCAGTGAGGCAGTCAGGTCTGTAACCTTCACCTGTGGGGATTCTTCAACTGTTGGGGTTGGCTGTTTGTCGGAGATACTCTTAGCTGGACGTGTCACTGCTGCTGATTCCTCTTGTTCTTTTGGCTTCACAGCTTCTTCAGCTTCGTCTCCATCAGCTCGAGGCTCCCAAAGCTCCTTGTGAGGCCGATGGCCAAAGCCCTCATCGTAGTTGCCTTTAGCTTTAAACAGCTGGTTGAAATGGGGCTTGCAATAGACGTTACCATGCAGAGAGGCATAGTTCAACAGACTAGAAATAGAGAGTAGCAAAGATTGTGGTTGATTTGAAGTATATTTACTGCATACATCATAAGACACGATGAAAAATAAGAAAAACTAAATCAGGAAATATGCTAGTGCAAGACTAACCTGAGCATTGTGTTGCAGTGAACACAGCGGAAGCAAATTTTGTGGTAGACATGCTGAAGAGCCACTAGTCTCTCCAGTGGGTACACCGTCTTTAGACAGGCAACGCATGTCTCCCTCACCGGTGGACAGAACTTCTAAAAACACACAATAATAGTCACACACAATTGGATTTCTTTTGTTAATTCACATCTCCTGCTTTATGTGATTACTGACTCACCCTCAATGCTTTGGGTTGCTCGCTGTTCTCGCCTGAAACAGAGAAAAAAACGTATCTTGTTTTGGGTGCCAAGTTTTTTGGATCTATTAATATTGTAAAATAAGTAGTAATATATTCTATTTTATATTTCATATTAAAGCTTATACTGTATCATTAACATTAACGTTGGAATACTGTATGTCCTTTGAGTATCCACTAAGACTCACCATTGCACTCTGGTGCAGGAATGTGTTTCTGATTTACTGGTGCAGATGTTTTTGCAGCAGGCACCTCTGGGGCAACACCCTGGAGGAAACACAAAGTGAAAGAAAAGAGGACAACAAACACTTGAGTAAACTGGCTGTTACATAATGAAGTGTTACGTATTTCTTCAATTTCTGTGGTAGGTTGGAAGTAATACATCAATGAAACAGGAAGACAGCAAACAATGTACATACAGTAATATTCGTGGGCAGATCTGCAGAGGAAGACTCAAATCACCAATACACAACGTTGCCTCCATTACTACTATATGTAAACTACTTTTAGCTAAGTGTGGTCAGTCATCTTAAAACCTGGTGCATGAGAATTGGTATTTCAAAACAGGTAAAATAATTAAGAAAAATACATATTTCTTACTTACTTCATTTTATCAAACAACCATATTTTAAAGAGGTTAATGTTTTTGTAGTTAAACTGTATGTTTTGTTTTTAATTCAGCTCCTATTGCATGAACTCACAGAGCGAGTGATGCCTTGTTTAGAAACAGCAGCCTGGTATTTGGCCATCTTCTCCTTCATGGATGTCGACTCCAACACTCTGTCAGGCACAGGCGGACCTACAGCAGAGGAGATACTCACACTTTATGTGATCTTGTTCTGCAGTAAACTGTGACTGTATTTTCAGAACGATTGCTCTTCAAGTATCATACATGGTCAAGATGTGGCACAAACGACTATGTTCCCTGAAACAACATTACCCACCCACATACAGCACTAAGGTTTGTAATAGGTATGTTTTAAGGTAAAGATTGGACAAGCAGTTTTGCGATTAAAAATGTGTGAAATAAGTGAGTTAATTGTTCAAAGGGCTGTGTGTTTGTCTTTACCTCCCTGATGGTCCATGTCCTCTGATGAAGTACTGCGCATTGTTGTCCTGCCACCCTGCAAGAGTAAAATCATTGGAGGTACGTGTCAGCACTGTTTACTTTATTACTCATTTACAGCAATGTACAGAATAGATTTTTACACAAACAACAATAGCGGTTCAGTTTGTGTGTGATTTAATACTGCATGCCATTTTGGCCTCTGTCAGTGGTCAGTTAGGGCGAGAGAAAGAAAGTCTGAAATTATTTCTGAGACAAAAATTACTGGTAATCACAAGTTTAAGAGCCTGTATGTGAGACACTGTCTGTCCTGTGAGACATGGACATCACAAGGCAGCAGGACTGGTGAGCATCCCACCAAGGTGCTCAGTGTAAAAACAGGTAGAAAAAATATCAAGTTAAAGATATAGCTATAACCCCAGATTTCCTAATCAATTTGAAATATCTTCTGTGCTTAGTTATTCTTGACAGATGTGCAACTTTAAGATAAAGCCTTCAGGAATACTATACATGAATCCTGGCTCCATATTCTACCTTTACCGAGCACACAAGGGCCTTTGACACAGTGTAATAACCACAAACTACAAGAACTTCAGGCTCCTTTTTTTTTTCCTGTACTAAAGACAGAAAAATAGCAAGTATCTGCATGGACAGCCACCACCATGCCTTTGACCTGCAGTCCAGAGAACCAAAGCATTGACAAGGCGTGACATTACACTACTAACAGAATGAGCTGTGTGTGTGTGTGTGTGTGTGTGTGTGCCCACGTGTCGCCAACACTAATGAGTAAACCAGACCGTTTCTCTCAGCAGTTATCCTGTGTACACACACACACACACAGAAGAGTTTTGGCCAATTAAAATAGCCCATTTCTTCAGGCTGCTTCACTGTGCCACCATCTTTCTCAGCCACGTAAATCCAAACACCAACCGGATTATAAAACACTCTGAGCTTCGGTTAGGGCATGGCTGCATGTTCACTGAAGAAGAACATATTCAACCTTTTCAGCCAGTAATGACAAGAGTTACAGTGCTCGTAGTCTAGCCTGTAAATGTTCACCAGTAACTTTTACACTTCTTCTTTCCTAATAATGACGTCATCGTGTTAGTCATACTATTAAGTTTTTTATTTTTTTTTTTATTTTTAAAAGACTACTAAACTTCTAGAGCTTGATAACCATGATACCATGGCAAAAGTGACATAGTGGAATTAAAATGTAAGAGACAAGAGGGTTTAATTCATTTTCACATGAATATGAATATGACATTCACACACATTATGTGACCATATAAACACAGAACTACACAATATGACACAAAAACTGGAAAAACAAGAAGCTAAAACTGAAGCCCAGAGCTGTTGGAAATCTGTGGCTAATGGAAAGTGAGGTAAAGACAGTTGCTCCTCAGAGGTGATCCTCTGAAGAATGAAACAGCCCTAGGTCAGGAATGTTCCTGCATTCCTCTGCTATGGAAGGTGAGGAGTGGAGGGCTTGTTGTTCTGGGCCGAGAGGGAGAGAGACACCCAGAGAGGCTGGAAGGGAAGAAACGGGCGGGGGAGAAAATCCAGGTGGAACAAGACTGTTTCAGAAAATACAGGCATCAGAGAACGCTAGGAAGAATATGTGTGAAGTGAAGTACGAAAGGATATGAAAATCTAAGTGACAGCAGGGACAAAGAATGGAGCTTAGCTTTAACTGTAGTTAAAACTGTAGTATGGCTGGATGGAGAAGTTGTGGTCAGTAACAGTGACTTCTTATCTCTCTTCTACGTGTGTAAACTAATTGCATACGGTAGGACCAGATTCACAGCAGACATATTACTGCCAATTATTGTAGTTAGTATTTGGATATTTGTGATTTGCTGTAAGGCGGGATAAGTATAAGTAGAGTTCCTTAAAAAAGTGCAAATGAATTGTGTTCGCAGAAGCAGCAGGTTATGCAGCATAGAGCTGGCCACATGAGAAAAACCATTCTGCCTTTGGACCGTCAGTACAGTAAATCCCAATCATCAACATTGTGGTTACAGTTAATGCTTGAGAAACATGGCCAAGAGATGCACAGCTGTCACAGCTGTCAATAAGGAGGAGACTACGAGCCTCATTCATAAAGTGTTCATGCAAACACATATGATCTCAATTAGTGTCAAATATATGCACAAACTGAGAATGTTTGTGCCAGTTTTTTAAATAATGTAAATCTATTGAGAGGATATCAGTGTTCACCACGCTGTGTCTCAAATGTATTGTTTATGTGTTATTCTGTAACTACCTTGCCCGTGGCATCCTCTCCCCTCTCAAACTTCATCTTCAGGTTGTTCAGTGGCACTCTGGGTTTTTCATAAGAGGCACAGGGGCTGGTTGGAACTTGCTCTTCAAGCTTTTCAGGTCTTTCACTGTGTGTCAGCTCATCTCTGTCCATCCCTCTCTCTTCTTCACCTTGGAATGCCTTGGGAGCTGATGGGGGCTTCTGGACACGATTGGCTGTAAGTTGACCTCCCTGAGATGTCAGCGGGCCGGGGCTCTTTAATGGAGGGTCGCACTCAGCTATAGGAGCAGGTCTGGACAGAGCAGGAGGCCTGCCGCGAGAGCTGGACTGGCTAGGAGGCAGGTCGGAAGAAGGCTTGCCCTGATCGAGGTTCCCTGCCTGCTCCCAGCGCTTCTTCAGAGCACTCAGGTTGGCTGACCGCAGGGAGGGGGCTGCACTCTCAGTAGACTGTGGGTAAGAGAAGAAAAGATTAAAAAGTGAAAATTCCAAGTAAAAGCAGCAATATACAGTCTATTCGTCTTACACTGATGTCTTTCTGGGTACTGGCTGAATTGTAAAAGTATTTCCACGTGGCAAAAACGCAAATACATATAAACCACAATTCAGCACAACGGGATGGAGGAAATGCCGGAATCTGAACTTGGCCTCACTGACAGATGAAGTGAACAGCTGTTCAAAGTTGGTCCAGGAAATAAATGTTTTGCTGCAGCTGCTGAAGGCAACGATTGGCTCAAGATGGAGATAGGAGGGCTGATCATGCAGGCACTTTTTCTCAGCAGCATTCCTTTCCACACGACAACTTCACCTTCCCCAAAAAAACACTGAAGAGGGCTCTGTTCACCACGTAGCCATTCATGTCAACAAAACATGTTGAGCAGCAAACAGCACGACAGAACAACAGGAGGCACACTACTGCTGTGTGACCTCAGGGAACTTCCTTAATTATAAAAGAGAAATGACACGTTGAAGAAAGAGGATGTGGACGTGTGAATAAATCACCCTCATATAGTAAGCTAATCAACTAATAAATCTTTAAAAAAACAATTTGAGCTGTTGTAGGAAAGCTTCCCAGCTTAGGTCAGATCAAGGAAACATCTAAACACTATTATATTTTGAAAAGCAGAATTCCTCAAAAACAAATTAATTTTCAATTTAATTTAGAGACGATTAGAGGTGACAAACATTACTCCCCAAAAGACTTTATAAAAAAGCGTATTACTACATCAAATGAATCCGGTACAACTACAAATGAGTTGAATGGACATGCACACAGACAGACAAAGAAAGAAAAGGAAGGATAAGAATAAGAAAATAAGAATAAAGGACTGAACAAAACAGACAAAACCCCCAAAGTGGACAAAAAACCGACATACAATTACTGTCTTTGTGAGGCAAGTCCAGAGTGACCGGGAAGAACTGGACAGTGACAAGATTGTTCCCCTTTTTTAAGCAAAAAGAAAAAAAACCTCTGAGAATGCGCCGGAGTGGCCAAACGAGTTGTAAGCACAATCAGACAGCGAGGAAAGTGAGAGTCCTTAGGTTGGTCCTCGTCTACAGGTCAGCGTGCTGAGAGACAGAGCTCTCCCAGATGTTAGCAGCTAGACAAAATCTGCTTGTAAGAGCTAGTCCAACCCCTTTAACACCAGGAAAGTGAATGAGAGAGAGAGTCAGAATAACCAGGAAACCAGAGCAGGAAATGATACATTCAGGGAAAAGTTAACTCTTTGTTCGCTGTGTCGGCTTAGACATTTTTCCACTCGCAAATGATTTCTGAAGATAATAGTGCTTAAAGTTGTGTCTATGTAGCACTTATCTTCGGAAGTACGGAATATAAGACAAGATGGGAGGAAAAATAAGAGAACAAAAGCCATTAAAAGAAATCACCCTGTGAGAGCAGTCATAACAGAGTTTCATACATAATAGTTTCAACACAACACAAAAAACAAATAGTGAGTTCTGCATTTGAGTCCTGAAGAGACACCCCACACCCCACAAGCATAGATAAAACTGACTTGATTGATGGATGTGTTACTGCAGGCATATTAGCCTAAAAGAGATTATACACACTGAAAATGTGAATGCTCCTCTACAAATCACTTGTGGGTGAAGAAGCCTTGACTTTTTCGAACATATTCCTGGATGGACAGACTGTTGTACCAAACCAATCTCGTGGTTTTTAATCACTGGTTTAATATGTGGCAATAGACGATCTAGTCTGTTCTGACTCACATGCTTGGAGCTGGAAGACTTTGAGTTATTACTTTCGCTGTCCATAAAGTCCAATCAGTTCTGAGACCAGCTGCACCAACTGATACCATGAGGACCAATTTTGAGGAAGGAGGAACATGAACCATGAAAAATGTATCTGTATACTGTCATCGTGATGATAGCTCATAAATATTCTGCGGCGGTAACTGACCACGAATGATGTGAATGTGGAATTATTACTCTAAAAATGTAAAACTTTACAGATACCCCTCACAAATTACCAGAGCCTAAACTGAAGTCCAAAAGTGGCATAATAACCAGATTTAATTTACACTGAACAAAGAAAAGCAGCAAATCTTTACATTTGAGAAGCTGTAACCAAACATTTTTTGACATCTTTAACATTTATCTTACCTAATTAACTGTGTTGTTGTCGTGTTTGAAAGTCCCCCCTTCCCCCAACTCCCCCTACACTCACACACGCAAGGGCAGACAGATGGTCATTTATGCTGCTCATTCAAACTTGCCTCGCATGTTATCCTCAAACTAGACTTCTGTATCCCTGTAACAGTGGCATAAGCAAATATACACACACTATTGGTTCCTGGAAATGATTACAAACTATGATAAATCACACTAAAATGTAAATTAGTATAAAGACTGAACCTGACAGCCTGATCTTGTGGGTTTTGACACAAAGTTGCCTTCAGGGGATCTTTTAAGTGCTGTTCTTTAAATGCAGCATGTAGGAAAGCTGTTTTTACATACATTACATTTACATCATGTTTCCACAGGATTCTCATTATCATTACCAGCAAGAATACTATAAAAGCTAACAAGCTTTTAAAGCAGCTGCTCCGCCCACACACACACACACACACACACACACACACACACACTGGTAAACAATTGCAACATTACCTTATATTTCTTCATGGTATTAGCTGATCAGTTACTCATTTAATCTCAGCCCTGCTTTGTTTATGAGTCTTTCACACTGACAAAGCAGCTAGACACAGAGCATTGCGGGGGGATTACACTGTAGTAGGATTATGGGTTTGATAGCCTGCCCATCGCAACAAGTGGCCAATGAGAGGTCAGCTAAGACAAGACATTTGGCCCAGACAGTGTGTTGGCATGGTGAGTGTGTGTGTGTACACTCTTCATCTCAACATGGAATAATTAGTTTAGCACCACCAGCAGCTACTGAGCAAATGAGGCAAGACATGCAGTGTACACACACTTCATTAAACAATGCAGGAGAAGCTTATTAAAGTGCTGTGAACCAAATGTGTCAGGGATTTAAGATTGTGAATAACACTTCTGGCTGTATACTACTACTTCATAAACTCCAAGAAATGTCTCTAAATTCTAATAAAATATCTCCATTATCCTGTATATGAAGCTTTACAGAAATACTTACTCCCTTTTTCTTTTCTGCACTTGACTCCTCAGCAGCTCTCTGGTACCTAAGAGAGACAGAAACAACACTGACCTCTGGTGACTCAAAACAAAAACATACACTTTTTTCTAACAATTCTTTCAAGAACCCTGCAGGCTGTTCAAGATCTTTATACTTTAGATTTTTTAGATTTTATTTTGTTTTGATCTTATTTCACCTTGCAGCATGTTTAGATATCTTTTCAATTCAGTTTCAGTTAGTTACACTTTTAGGGCTAATGTTTTCTAGATGAGAAGAAATTGAGAAAATGTATCTTTATAAACTTTAAACAAGCACAGTGGAATGCAAAATAGAAAATCAGAATATATTAAGATATTAGCTTAGTGAAAAAATAATCACTTGTTCTCTGGCTGCAGAAATGAAAATCAGAACCCAGCAACAGGTCATACATTTTGTCCCAAGTATTTTCAAAATAATAAGTAAAAAAACCCCC